AACTTTAAACCAAACTTACAGAATGTCTCTTGGGCCTAAGAAGCCTGGTCATCAATTTCCTTCATTCCAAAGCCATAAAAGTAAGTGAACTGAAAAAATAACAAGTCTCCCATACAAAAATAATTCAAAATAATATATGTAGCTCTTCCACCTTCAAAGAGATGAAGCACACATAACTCCCCACTCCCTTTAGGTTTGGAGAGTTATACACAGTGACTTCTTTCCAAAGAGTACAGTATACAAGGAGTGGGCGTCAGGGGTTGGAATGAACACTTTAAGCTGTAGTGTGACAAAGGGGATCTCAGCCAGAGAATCAGGTTAATGTGATTCCAAGAGTGATATGAAAGAACCATGTGAACTTGCTCCCCAAAACACACTATCCAGGTCTCACTGTGAGAAAAATATCAGACAACTTCCAGCAGAGGAACGGCCCACCATATACATGACTAACACTATTCAAAACTGTTGAAGTCTTCAAAAACAAGGAAAGCCTAGGCAACCACTGAGGCCAAGAGGTGCCTGAGGAGACAAGGCTAAATGTAATGTGCTACCCTGGGTGGGACCTAGAACAGATGAAGCCCATTAGGCAAGGAAACGTAAATAAAGTATAGAGTTTAGTCAATGATAACGCACCAATATTCGTTCATTACTTGTGACCAACGCACCACACATGTAACAAATGATGTTAATAACAAAGGGAACTCCGTGTAAGGCATAGGCAAGCTTTCAGGACCATCCTTCCTGAGAATTTACAACTAGAAAATTTCCTGAAAATGTAAGCTATTTTAAAATCTGAAATTATAATTGGAACATACTTATTATTATTATTATTAGAACATATTTTTAAATAAGTTACATTATATTTTTGCCCCCTGAAAATGAAGAAAAACTTTTTCTCAAACCCCTGTGTTCAAAACAAACTTAGGCTCCCAAAGAACAGTTGGGTTTTGATGGATTCAGTTCTTCACCTAGTCATGTCCCACTTTGTTCTGGTCAAAAGAACCCTGAAAACAACCTATTAGTAAGTTTAAAGAACCTCATAGATTCTGTGAAATTCTTAGAATAAACTCAGTCATTCCATGAATATTTTCACTGACTTCTGATTCTTTTACATTTTAATCACTGTTTTGTTTTTTTTCTTGTTTCTCTCTCTCTCTGTGTGTGTGTGTGTGTGTAAGAGAAAGAGCAGAGTACACGCACATACACACACGTGCACTGCAGACTGAACTCAGGGCCTCCTGTATTCTAAGCATACCTCAATCACTGAACCAAACCTGGCCCTGTTTTTAGCTTATTTATTACCAGTCACTGCAAATCTCTTTAGAGGGAGTATTTATATGTATGAACATATTTTAGTCTGGTTATACAAAATTTTATCTTTCGAATCTCTGACTAACCATCTCTCATGTTCTGGACAGTCACCCACTCAATGGCTAGAACATGGCAAATTACTACAGTGTTCAGCTTAAGTTCGTGAATTGCAAGATGGAAATAACACCACCTGCTTTCACGGATGGTTGCTGAAGACTAACAGAGCTAACATTCGTCAGTACGCCTAGCACAGATAAAAGAAAGGCACTGGATAAATGACAGTGACCATTATTACTATTAACAAAAATAGCGGTAATTATTTTCATTAATATGATGAAAAGAATGGAACAGAATTACAAATCAGTCCTCAGCCTGGTGCTGATTTCCTCAGTAACCCAGATAAACACAAGTAAATGCTGTATTTCAGGGGAGGAGAACAACTAGAGAGGAGAGGAAAAATGTTTTCAAGGAAAAGAGAGAAGGAGGAGAGGAGGAAGAGAAAAATTTCTTACATATGGGTCACTACCAAAAACAAGTTTGAAAGCTTTAAGACAAGGTGAAATCCAATCACTCCTCTGAGTCCAGACTCTACTAGAATAATAAAAAGAAAAAGAAAAACACCTTCTAGCCTTTTTGGCACTCATTTCACCAAATCCACCCAAAACAATCACATGTAAGAGCCAAATAAACACCAAATCTGAACCTCTACTTCTCCTTGCCCAGAGGATGCCAAGTTCCTGCTCTACTGCCCAAAGTTATTTTGGCATTGAGACATTCTATTTCCAACCCTGGTCGTCCTTATTTTAGGGGAGAGAACAGACAGTGGGGATTTTTTTTTTAATTTAAAAATTAAACCTTTAATTGTTTAAATACTTTGTGTTACATATTTCATCTCCATTATATCTACCTCTTAGTAATCCTGAGAGTGCTTACAGAAAAGGAAATGACGCTGAGGGAGGAAGACTATTTGCTCTAGGTTCTTGCAGATACTATATGGAGAGACTGAATCCAGGTCAGTCGGACCGCAAAGATTTTTCTTTCCTTTATGCCAGCAACTTAATGTAAATACTCCCTGCCAAATGTGATAGAGAAAGGGAAGTAAAAAAGGAGATAATTCCTTAAACACTTTTCTCAGTACCATGTTTGAAGTTTTTCTATTATTTCAATCCATACAATAACCTCATGAACTCACTATTATTATCTACATTTGCAATCAAGCTCAGAGAAGTTCCTCCTATCACCTTGATCATGCAGGATGAAATGAAGAAGGCAAACAGAATTGAGACACTGGAGTAAACAAAGAAAAGACAGAAGACAAACTTAAGAAGTAAGAGGGCCAGAAAAGAAGGCAGCCACCTATGCAGAAGGAATTGAGTGCTGGGTGCCCAAAGTCTGCAGGCTCTCCTCTGCAGAGAAGGAAACTGAAAGGGAGGTCTGAACTTGCCCACACGTATGGGGCAGGGTGGGGGGAGTGGGGATTGTTAATTTGTACTAATGAAAAAAGAATGAGTCATGAGCAATGTAGCCAATAAAAAAAAAATGGCAGGGATGACTGAATGGCCAATAAATCAATTCTGAGCATTAAACTTTTTTGCTTCTTTAAGATCTGAGAGTGTCACAGACAGAGATGGAAGATTGCAAGTATGTTCTGATGTCAACAAGAAGCCCTTCAATTTTAAATTCACTATATTAGGCCTTTAAAATACTTCCAGTCTCTCACAAGTATAGACCATCTCAGAATCATAAGACTTTCAAGTATATTCTACTTATTATTGTCCAAATATACCTGACCATATAGCCACCCCGGCACTTGTTAAACATACAAGTTCCCAGGTGTGTCCCATAGAGATTTCAGGAAGCAGAAAACTGCAACTCCTAGGAATCGGTGTTGAAAAAAATTGTTCAAGTGATTCTTAGAATCAACCTAGTTTGGAAAATTGCTTGAACAGGATTGTCCCAACCAGCCTTTAGGTAGGTACCATGATCTCCATTTTGCAGATAAGTAGTGTGAGACTCAACAAAGACACATGCCCAAGAGCACACAGCTATTAAGGATACAAGTCACCATATGACCTCCATACTTACTATTTGATTTAAATCTATGTGAGCTGGGACTAGCTTCAAAAAGCCCCCTCTTTGAGGTCTGAATATGGCATCAGACACGAGGAAACAGTTGTTTACAGTATCCAGAGCCATCAGAAAGAACCAAGGGGAAATAAAAGTGCTGGATTAAACAAAATCCAAAGAAAAGGAAAACCAGGTCTTTCTCCATCTTTGGTTTTATTTTTGAGTCCTATAAGCCTTGAAGCTAATGGCCTACAAACACACAACTACTAGCATATTTTAACTATCAGGTCTATTTTGCTAAAATCAGAACATTTCCTTCACTGATGCACAAAAGTAGAAAAAAAGCCTCCAGAAATTCTTTTAATAACTTAGACAATGTCACACAAGAGGAATGCCCAAGATGAGGTCTTCACCCATGCCTCCTCCCCAGTGGTGAAAACTATAATGGTGACTAATTACACCCTCCAGGGCAAAGTTCAGACCACTAGAGGGGTGAGTACCTGAGGTTGGCTGAGGCTGTCTTCATGTGCATATGGATGCTCTCCTCTCTGAGACCTTTAGCAGATGATTGCTCTGCTGAAGGGAGGTGCTGGTGGATGCCACATGAAGAATGATGTGCTCATCAAAGGCCTTCACCAGTATCTCCTTCTGGAAGTAGGGCTGCTGATCTATCACACTCTTATCAACTCACCACAAGAAAAGGCCAAACCCTGTACCATGGGATAGACAGGAGGAGCACAGGGGGAATGGTACTGCTGTTCCCGGCTTCTCCTGAGTTTATATAATAAAAAATGGGGAGGACATGCCTGCTCTGAAGGCACAGAATTTAAGATACAACACCTGCTCTCTACTTTATACAGGTTTATCTCTTCCTCTGGGAATGGATCCTCTGCCTCACAGATTTGTTCAATCCAAGTTCGAAATCCTTCTCAATTTGAGAAAACCTCTCACCCTTATGTAGTCCCCTAACTGAGGTTAAGATGGTAACAAACTGGCCATATATGAACAGATTTCCTGTCCATCTTCTGCACATATCCAGGCACATTCCCACTGTTAATTATATCAGCCACAATTTCATATGCAATAAGTATTCTGTAAAAGTCTCCTGCATGTAGCACATACTTAACATTTAACATTCGTAACTTACTGAAAAATAGTGGCTGATTCCAACATACATACCTCTACAGTGGTATACCATTTATACAGATTCCAGCACATTTATACAAAAACAAAATAAATTCATATCACATTCATCCACTTAAAATCAACTTCCTTGAAAAACATCTCCTGCCCTAATTTTTAGTTGCCAAGTAAAAGGTGCTTTTGGGCAAAAAGGCACCATTTACTCCAGATTTTTCATTTTTCCTCCAAATGTGTCCATTTTAAGGAATGGTCTTCACCTTGGATACTCACATTTCTGGCCTCGCAGGAATTGGAATAGTATAGTATCTGAGCATGTGTAGTGGAGATGGAAGATAGACTCAAGATGTTTCAAGTATTCAAAATCGTATGCAGATGTACAAACAGAATGTCCAGTCAAAGAGAGTTAAGAAAGCAATACATATACACAGACACCCAAGAATGGAAGAGTGCAAATAAAATCCAACTTGTAATTAACATACCGTGCTGTGACACCTGTTGCCTTCCATGATAAGAAGTCTGGAAGATCAAAGAAATGTCCCGCCTTATCCCAGCAAGTCTCTCTCAAGTTCTGCCAAATTAAATATATATTAGAATCAATTATGGGTTCTTTTTTTCCCTAGCCCTCTCCTCTTTCGATAATGTTTCAGAATTTTCAAAACAAAAATACAGCCAACAATGTCTGTTAAAACATCTGTTCGAGGGCTTGGGGTGCACAGTGTGACATAAAAACAGTACTTTATAGGAAAGAAAAATGGCAATTATTGATCCTTCCAAAAATGACCATAATTTCCCTTTATCCCACTTTGACAACCTGGAGAGAGAAAAAACACTCTATGAGAATATGCAATTCATCTTCCCAGTGAAGGGTGAGAGAGTATGCTTCAAACATGTAATATTTTAACATGAGCAGCTGAAATCTGGGGAGAAAACTGCACCAAGACATTACATTACAGTGAATCTGAACATGCCGGGCCATGTAAAATTCTCCAGGAGTCAAGTGGTTCCAAAGGCAATGAAAAAGATGGTCTCTTCCCTCATAGAACTTGCAGTCCAAGCCAAAGAGAACAGCCACATAATCAAGCCATTGTTGAATAATTTTTAAAGGTTTGTTTTTTCCACATTGCTACATAGTCAGATTTTTCCTTACCACTTGGTTTTTTCTTTCCTCTGACAACTCCACCTGGAAAATTCATCAATTACTTTGTTCCTTCCCAGGATCCATTTTCTCCTGTTCCTTTGCTTAACCCACCCCTCAGGCTTCCTAAGTGAGGTTAGGTCTGGCTATCATAGCATTGCATATTTGTTTATTGTCTTTCTTTCCTCCAGGACTGTAACCTCTGTGATATCAAGGACTTGTCAGTCTTGTTCACCATGTTTGATGATGGTCTCCTCTCCTTCCCCTATCCCCCAGGCTGAGTGGAAACCACACAGTTCTCATTCTAATTTCTGATAACCTGATTGGATTATGGAAAGACATGGGAGCTGGTTGAACCAATCAGATTTCTTCTCCCAGAAATTTAGAATGCCTATTCAGTGGAGCCATTTAACTCCTGCCTGTGAATGGAATTGGGGAACTGGGGTCTGGATGTAAGATAAAACTTGGAAACTGTGAAGTGGCCACTATCTACCAAGCATATAGAATCAAAGAAAACACACACACACACACACACACACACACACACATATGCACATACACACACACAGGGTAAGGGGAACTGAAGCACTATCAAGAAAAGGGTTCCTACCACTCAGGCAACTTTCTATGTCCTGTTTGCAATTATTCTCTCTAGAAGAGGCTAATGAAAGGAATTTATCATAAACTCAAGGGCATTTGGGGGAATGTACAGGCAACAAACCTGAAGTTCCAAATGAGACATATTCTAATATCTGCTAGAGGGCAACACACAGTAGGTACTCAATAAATATTTACTGAATTGAAAGACATACTGTTCAGTTTCTCCTTCCAATCCCTCTCTTCTGAGCAGTGCTGCAACATTTATGAAGGGACCCACGTGTGTTACCTCCTCAGAGCAACACAAAAGTGTCCAGTGCTGTTTGTTCAATTTTACAACAACCACAACTTTACCTGCATGCTTCTAGCCAGAGCCAAACAAACAAATCTTCACAAATTCAGAGTACAAGTGCTTATGCTAGATCTTGTTTTGGGTCACTGGAACATAGCCAGCAGACAGCCACTGTGAACAATGAAACCCAAACAGAATGTCTCTAAGAGAATTTTAGGACTTTTGCCCAAAGGAGATATTCTGGAATTGGAGGAGTGAGGGATCCAGGAGCATCATTTCCTCCTGAGACCACACCTGCTTCACTGACAAAGCCAGAGACCTGAGTAAATCTTACAATAGGATGAGGAAACAGAAAGAGCACATTGTTGGAAATATAAGGTATCTTTAAGAATGCACATGATCTGTGAAGGAAAAATCCCTGCTTTCTCTACAAAAACAAAGTCTAGAGACTAGGCAGCAAAGAAAAGCAGGGAGAATTTGGGTGAGAGAGAGTGTGTCCAGAAGTCTGATCCCTTTCTTCCAGATACTAACTAGCTGTCTGTGAATGTCCCATGCAGTTCTTCATTGAGTTGCATGATTCACAAGGACTTTGCAACCCCAGTCCCAACTGCCAGATTGGCCAAGACCCCTGGAGATGAGATTTTTTAATATGGTTCTATGGGAAAATCTCTCTGTCCTTCCTCCTCTCCAATCAGTGCAATACCAGTCACAGGCCCCAACCTCACTGAGTCAATTCTGTCCTAGTAGCCACTGGGCCTGCATCATGCCTTGACTGGCCTCTTGTTTCCTCTGCAGTTTGCAACAGGGATCCCACAGCCTCATCTTGTTTGATTCTCAGGGCCATTCAGAGGTGTGCAGGTGATGCATAATACTCTCTTACCAAGGATGCAGAAACTTAGGGTCAGACCCCAAGGCCTTAGCCCTAATGTTAGGTACCTGTTCTAATATTGGTGGTCTTTCCTTTCCCAATGCCACAGTGACCACCCTGAGGCTCCTAACCCTAGCAGAGCTGTGTCTGGGCCTTCTGGAAAAGTTACAATGAAAGCTACTGCCATTCGTTACAGCATAAAACAAACAAACAAAAGCCCTTCTAAATACAATTTTTTAAAAAAACAATCTCAAAAGTTCCAGAAATTTCTATGTCAGTCTTGAACTAGTCACTGAACTTCTATGAACCTAACAACAGTTTGGGTTAGAGAGAACACACAGTTGACCCTCCACACTTGCCAACATTCGCTGCATCTTATTATGTGATAGCTTACTCCAATTCAAACTAGGAGCCTTCTGTGCTGAAGTCGTTCTGTCAAGTCTTTCTGTCCTCTAGTTACCAAGCAACTAGTTTTTCAAGAAAAAAAGGATCAGCAATGATATATGACTCGGCATTACAGGTTTCTATATTCCAACAACAATCCTTTGAGCTAAGCAATCTGCCAGCTTGAAAGCAACCAAATTATTTATTACTTCATAAAACCATAGTCCTTCTTGGGAAGAGGCTCACACGGCTGTGAGTGGGGAGAGAGAGTATGTCCCAGATTCAAGGCCAGCTATCAGTTGCCCTGCCAGCCTCAGGGCAGAGAAGAAGAGCCTTTGCCTTTTGCCTCCCACTGCAACATCCCAGCAGCTGTAAGGTTTCTGCTGCTTCTAGACACCGAGGACACTGGTGAGGGAAACAAGGAAGCCACTCTGATGGCAGAGAGTCTAGAAGCAACATAAGAAACTAGGGATGGCAAGGTAAAGAAAGATCATCCAAGTACTTTACAATTAAGTTGCAAAGAGATTTTCTCTGGCTCCCTGTGGTATGCAGTGATTAAATGGAAGGAACAGAGATCCTGCACTCTCTGCTCATAACTGATCCTGTCTACACATTCCCAATGCTCATGATATTTTTCAGAACTTTACTACCCTTTACTACCCATGAAACTTTACTACCCTTACTCTGTTCAAGACCCCAAATTAGGGCAGACAGACCACTGAGGAAAGAAGTTTCAGGAAGAAACTTAATCCTCAACATCTTTCTTAAAAGAAAAATGATGCTGAAAACATGGAGTGGATCATAAGCCCCTATGAGAACCTCCCCGGAATGAATGAAACAACTATGTATTTCAAACTCCTGTCCACAGAGACCAAGACCAAACACTAGAAAGGGTACACAGGCAGATCAACTGAGGTTGGTGCTACTGGAGGCATCTCTCTAACACTGAAGACTCACCATTCCACTTCTTTCTTTAAAGTGTTCTCATAGCCCCTTGGTTAAAGTTGCCATTATCATTATCATATGATGACTTCCTCTCTCATGGCCTCTCTGTAACAATCTCCACTTAGTCCTCACATCATTCGTTTACTTTCCTAATACATTACATTCTTTATTTCTGTGCCTCTGTTTAGGCAGGTGCCTCTACCTGGATTGACTCTCTGACCTTCTCCCCTTATCAAATTTTTGCTGTGGACTCAAATCCTTAATCCTCAGAAGTCACCCTTGCTGGGAGATCACCCCCACCATCTCACTTCTGCATTCCACACTGTATCTGAATTACATATTCATGTACCTTGATCTACCTCAATATAACAAACTTCTGGAAGACAAAAGACAAGAAAAACTCATGGGAAAAAAACACACAAAACTTCAGGAGGTACAAACAAAAATTAAAGCTAATCTTTTTCAAAAGCAAGTTACAATGGAATTGGAGAAAGATGTGCACAAAGGCAAAGGTAATTAAAAGTATGACGTATGACAATAATGTAATGAGCCTGATACCAAGGTTTGGTGAGTCAGCCTCAACTTCATCATAATATTTTGTGTGGTCATATATATGCCTGTAATGACTAATCACAGGGTTCAGAGAAGAGAAAGGGCTTGATGGCTAGAAAAGGCTTCATGGTGGGGAGATTTGAGCTAAAGCCTAAAGGTCAAGTAGAATAAATATCAATGCTACTGTAGAGAAAGATACCCAGGAAACAAAAATCTGAACTGATGAGACAGATTATTCCCATTAGAGAAGAGTTTGCTTAACTGTGCCATCATATGATTTATTTGTAAAATGAAATAATTTCATTATATAATTCATTTTCAAAAGCCAGACTTAAATGCAATCCTTTTCCTACCTCCCCGAAGCCCTGCTCTTGTACTGACAGATAAACTCATCTTCCATACTAGAGCTGATTCCCAACCATGAAAATGTTACCAATTGCATGACAACTGATCAGATTCAGTAAAGCTGACTTTGTCCAGGACAGTGATACCACCTCAAGTACCAGGAAAATAAGGCTATAGTATGTGAAGTCAAAGAACATTAAAGTCCAGCATGTCTGAGTCTGAGAGCTGTCCTCATCATTTCCTAAAGCTGTGTGGCTTTAGAAAAATTAATACCCCAAAACCTCAGATTCCTCAAAGCCAATATTACTAGCACTTATCCCAAAGGATGTTGTGAACATTAAATGAAATAAGATGACAAGATTCACTCACCACTGCTACAGAGCTTCATATTTTTCAAAGCACTTTGACATGCATGATCTCATCTGAGCTGTACAATTCCTTAAAGCAAGG